TGGCGCAAAACCAGGTCCCCCCGTTCATTCTCCCTCTACAAATCTGCCTTCCTCACTTACACCTCCTCCCTCTCCACGCCGCCAAGCAGGCTTACTTCGTAAACCTGATTAACACCCTCTCCTCCTGCCCTCGCCGACTCTTCTCCACCTTCAACTCCCTGCTCTCCCCCCCCCCCCCTCCACTCAGTACCTCACTCACCGCCCACGAAATTGCCACTCATTTCCACAACAAAATTGATGCAATCCGTCAGGACATAGTCAACTCGCAATCTACCTCCCCACCTAGCCTCCCCCCCCATCTCCCCCTCATCTCTTCCCTCCTCTGACCTCGCAACCGCACTGCCCCCCTCCACACCCAAGAGCCCGCTTACCGTAACCCTTACCGTAACCCCACCAGCTCTGCACTCCTTCAGCCCTACTACCACTGAGGAAGTCACCAGGGTCTTCTCAGAAGCCCGCCTCACTACCTGCCCCCTGGACCCTATCCCCTCTCGACTCCTCCAGTCACCCCCCTCTTCCCTCATCTGCTCCCTCACCCACATCTTCAATCTCTCCCTCTCTACCGGCGTATTCCCCTCCCCCCTAAAGCATGCGCACATCACCCCCATACTCAAAAAGCCCTCCCTGGACCCCTCTGACCCAAACAACCTCAGACCCATCTCCCTGCTGCCACTCACTTCCAAACTCCTGGAGCGCTTAGTCTACAACCACCTAAGCGCCCACCTAACTGACAACAACCTCTTTGATCCACTACAGTCCGGCTTCCGTCCCCTACACTCCACCGAAACCGCCCTCCTCAAAATCACCAACGACCTACTAACCGCCAAAGCCAAAGGCGACTACTCTGTCCTCCTCCTCCTGGACCTCTCTGCGGCCTTCGACACAGTTGACCACCCCCTCCTCCTTAATAAACTACTCTCCCTTGGCATCAGAGACACCGCTCTCTCCTGGTTCTCTCCTCGTACCTATCCCGACGCTCCTTCAGTGTCACCTACAATGGTGCCACCTCCCCCTCACTCCCCCTCTCTGTTGGGGTCCCCCAGGGCTCTGTCCTTGGACCCCTTCTCTTCTCCATCTACACCTCCTTCCTGGGCAAACTCATACACTCCCACGGCTTCAACTACCATCTCTATGCTGATGACACTCAAATTTACCTCTCCACCCCTCACCTCACCTCCACTTTCTCCGCCCGCATCACTCACCTCCTAAACGACATCTCTGACTGGATGTCGCTCCATTTCCTCAAACTCAACCTCTCCAAAACCGAGCTTCTCGTCTTCCCTCCTGCCCGCGCCCCCCCATCCTATCCATCACTACTAACATCACCACCATCAATCCCGCCCCGCAAGCCAAAGTCCTTGGAGTCATTCTGGACTCTAACCTCTCCTTCCAACCTCATGTCAAATCACTTACAAACACATGCAGACTCCACCTCCGCAATATCGCCAAAATACGCTCCTTCCTTACCCCAGACACCACTAAACTACTTGTGCACTCCCTGATTATCTCACGCCTTGACTACTGCAACTCCCTCCTCACCGGCCTACCCCAGTGCAGGCTCTCCCCGCTTCAGACCATCCTCAACTCAGAAGCTAGACTCATCCACCTCACCACCCGCTCCACCTCTGCCACCCCCCTCTGCCTCTCTCCCTCCACTGGCTCCCTATCGCCCAATGCATCAAATTCAAACTACTCACTCTGACCTACAAAGCCATTCACAACACTGCCCCTAACTACCTCACCAACCTGATTCCCAAGTACCACCCTACCCGTACCCTTCGCTCTTCACAGGACCTCCTTCTATCTTGCTCCCTGGTCTCCTCCTCACACGCACGTCTGCAAGACTTCTCCAGGTCCTCCCCCATCCTCTGGAACTCACTACCCCAATCCATCAGACTGTCACCTTCCCTCCTCACCTTCAGGCGCTCCCTGAAAACCCACCTCTTCAGGGAAGCCTACCCCACCCTCACCTAACTGCTGCTCTCCTTCATTCCTCCTACCACTCCATCCCCCACAGCCACTTCCTCCTGTACCACTACCCCCTCCCTCCTAGATTGTAAGCTCGAAAGAGTAGGGCCCTATAACCCCTCGTGTGCTGTTTGTAGTTGCTGTAATGTTTCATGTATTGTCCCCCCCTCTATTGTACAGCGCTGAGCAAACCCTTTGGCGCTATATAAACTCAATGTAATGTAATGTAATGTAATGTAATGTAATATTCTGTGCTGTTGCAGCCATTGTTTTGTTGAATTACTTGTATGCTTTGGGTCATTGTCCTGTTGCATCACCCATCCTCTGCGGAGCTTCAGTTGGTGGACAGATGGTCATACGTTTTCCTGCAAAATATCTTGATAAACTCTGGAATTCATTTTCCCATCAATGACAACAATCCGTCCAGGCCCTGAGGCAGCAAAGCAGCCCCAAACCATGATGCTCCCTCTGCCATGTTTTACAGTGGGGATGAGATTTTGATGTTGGTGTGCTGTGCCTTTTTTTCTCCACACATAGTGTTGTGTGTTTTTGTATGTTCTTCCCAAACAACTCAATCTTGGTTTCATCTGTCCACAGTATATTTTGCCAGTATTGCTGTGGAACATCCAGGTGCTCTTTTGCAAACTTCAAACGTGCTGCAATATTCTTTTTGGGCAGCAATGGCTTCCTCCGTGGTGTCCTCCTATGTACTCCATTCTTGTTTAATGTTTTCCTTATTGTAGATGTGTCAACAAAAATGTTAGCATGTGCCAGAGATTTCTGTAGGTCTTTAGCTGACACTCTGGGATTCTTCTTTACCTCATGCAGCATTCTGCGCTGTGGTCTTGCAGTCATTTTTACAGGACGACCACACCTAGGGAGAGTAGCAACAGTGCTAAACTTTCTCCATTTGTAGGCAGTCTGTCTTACCGTAGACACATGAACATCAAGGCTTTTGGAGATACTTTTGTAATCCTTTCCAGCTTCATGCAAGTCAACAATTCTTGATTGTAGGTCTTCTGAGAGCTCTTTTCTGCGAGGCATGGTTCACATCAGACTGTGCTTCTTGAAACCAGTAAACCCAAAACAGGTGTGTGTCTTTAAGGGCAGGAGAGCTGTCAGCAACACATCCAATATCATCACACTGATTGGAGTTAAGGTTGGCTCACTCCTGGCTCCAAGTAGCTCTGGGAGAAGTCATTAAGCTAGGGCCTCACATACTTTTTCCTCCCTGCACTGTGAATGTTTACATGTTATGTGCAATTAAACCATGGCAACATCTAATGTTTGTGTAGTATTATGTTCAGCAGACTGTGTTCTTCTATTGTTGTGACTTAGATGACGTTCAGAGCACATTTTATGCTCAATTCATGCAAAACTCCATGTAATCCCAAGGGGTTCACATACTTTTTCTTGCAACTGTATATAGGGGAATCAGGACCTCCTTCCTCCTGCTGGTGATCCCAGTAGTGATGCATCCTAGAATTCTATTTGCTTTCCCCACTGCCTGGCCACACTGTTTGCTGATTTTGCAATCATCTGAAATAAGTACCCCCAAATCCTTTTCCTCTGTAGTGCTCGCCAACATTGTACCCCCAATGTTGTACTCTTTCAAGGGATTCTTTTTCCCTAGGTGCATTATTTTACATTTAGAAACACTGAACTGCAATTTCAACTTTTTTTCGACCAATCTTCTAGCAATGTCAAATCTTGTTCCATGTTACATACACCTCCAGGGATATCAACCCTATTGCACACCTTTGTGTCGTCAGCAAAAAGACTTACCTTACCCAACAAACCTTTAGTTATATCACTTACATAGAGATTAAATCTAACAGGACCTAGTACAGAGCCATGTAGTACATCACTACTGACTGGTCTCTGTTCTGAGTGAAACCCATTTACAACCACACGCTATCTATCCTTTAGCCAGCTGCATATCCACTGAACCATCCAAAAGCTAACTCCTAGCTTGTACAACTTTTGTGTTAGATCATTATGTGGAACTGTATCAAATGCCTTGTTGAAATCAAGATATGCTATGTCCACAGCACCACCCTGATTCAAAACATTGGTAATATAGTAAAAAAATCCAATCAGATTAGTCTGACATGATCTGCCCTCAGGTAAAGCCATGCTGCTTTTGATCCAGCAAGTTGTGTGTTTTTAAGTGAGCAATGATCCTTCTTTTCCGGAGTGATTTCATTAACTTGACTACAATAGATGGTAAACTCACTGGCCTATAATTGCCAGCTTCTACCTTGCTGCCCTTCTTGTGGATAGGTATAATATTAGCTGTCTGCCAGTCATGGGGAATTTCTGTTAAGACATTGATTAAAAAGATCAGTTAATGGTGCAACAACTATATCTCAAAGTTCTCTTAGAACTCTGGGATGAATACCATCAGGGCCCATTGCTTTATTAATCTTTAACTGAGCCAGTGCCTCTGCTACTGGAAATCCTAAAAATGAACCATCATTACTAGAACCAATTTTAATCGCCCAACTTATTATTGTTAGCATAATTTATTTCTGAGAAGACTGAACAAAGGTAATTAAGTGGTTTGCTACATCCAGGTCTGCCTCAACAGAAGTGTTGTGTCCAGTTTTCATTTTAGTGATCACTAATGTACCTAAAAAAGGTATTATCTCCTTTGTTAATAGATTTAGCAGTTTTCTCCTCTTTCTGTGCTTTGGCAGCACTGATACAATGTGTTTGGCCTCCTTTTGTCTATTCTTATACTCTTCTCTGTCAGCTACACCTCCTTTTTCCTTGAATCTCCTATATCAGCAATCACTAAATGGCGGACCACGGTCTACGAACGGCCCCAGCATCGCTGCTGCATGGACCACCAGCTTGCAATGACAGATCCACCGCTGAGCAGGGTGGTCATCACGGCAACATGACATCACATGTGCACCCTGCCCCTTTCAGCTCACTGTCTCTCTGGCTCCCCGCTCCCTGCCTGTACACAAGCGTCCAGCAAGGATCTCGGCACAGCTCCTGTCTGCCTTCAAGGTAGGGTGTAGTCTTACAGGGGCACTCTTATGGGCACATTTTATGTTAAGGGGCACTCTGATGGGCACATTTAATGTTAAGGTGCATTCTGATGTACACAACATAGAATGTGCCTATCAGAGTGCCCCTTAACATTAAATGAATACATCAGAGTGCCCCTTAACATAAAATGTGCCCATCAGCATGCCCCTTATTTTATGTTAAGCGGCACTCTGACAGGCACATTCAGGGGCGGACTGACAACTCATGGGGCCCCCGGGCAATAGGTGATCATGGGGTCCCTGTGTCCTTGCCCAAACTAAAAAAAGCCTATGAAAAAGGTACACGGGGCATCTCATGGGGCCCCCTACTGACCCCGGGCCCTCGGGCAGTGCCCGAGTTTCTAAATGGTCAGTCCGCCCCTGGGCACATTTTATGTTAAAGGGCACTCTGATGAGCACATTTTATGTTAAGGGGGCACAAATGGGCACATGGGATGGAAAGGGGCACTCTGAGGAGGACATATGATAGAAAGAAAGAGGTACTTTGAGTGTAAAGGGGCACTCTGACTGGAATACCTGATGTAAGGGGGCAATGTGATGGGGATACCTGATGTAAAGCGGCACTCTGATGGGGACAACTGATGTAAAGTTGCACTGTGATGGCGACACCTAATGTAAGGGGGGACACTGATGGGTACACCCTATTCGAGCCAGAAGAAAATTTTAGTGAGCGGACCTCCTTGAATTTTAATTCAATACCCCTGTCCTATATGCTGATTTTTTTCCTTTACTATCCTCCTTATCTCTTTAGTGAACCATATTGTTTTTTTTCTTCTGTTTATTCTTACTAACTTGCCTGAAACACAATCTACTTGCCTCCAGGATGGTAGACTTTAACAGTGCCCACTGATTACTTACTCCTGTCATTTTACACCAACCTTGCAACTAATTGTTTAGAAATTCACCCATTTCAGCAAAATTTGTCTTTTCAAAATCTAATCCTAGACAAAGAAAATATCTGATTCTTTAAAATGTTGGCTGTGGCATTAGCCTGGCTGGACTCTAAGGGTTCACTCATACCAGCCATTGCACTACAATGCAGCGACTGGTGTGTGCTGTGATGCTAATGTTTCGACCCTAGGTGCACTTATCACTTTTATTTATTTTTTTTTTCAAATGAACTTCATTGAAAACAGTCACATTTTGTAAAGTTTAGTGGTGACTGCACTGCTGCATGCAGCATTTTGTTCAGTGCACCTCACCACAATGCAGTGTTGTGAACCAACCACATAGGAGACAAGGTGGTTTGCCTTGTTTTGTGGTGGTGGGATGGTAGTCAGATGAAGTCCCGTCTCTGGGACGTAACGTGTAAGGGCGTAGCTGCACCCCTGTGATGTTATGACCTTCAGGCTGAGCCATTGCATGGCTCCCTGGGAATTACACACTGGCATACAAACGTGGAGTTTTGTAACCACTAGTGGAGACATATTCACACCAATGTGTATATATTTAAGATGCTTTTATTCTATTTTTTCCCATAAGCATATCTGCTGTATTTTTTCTTGGAAATAAATATTTAAAACAGAGAGCACTAGATATAATTTATTTTTATTGACTTGATTGGTGATGCAGCCACAGGAATAGAGTTGGTTAGCAGACTTTGATTGCTTGGATATCAAATCATGTATGGCAGGGCTCAAAATTTCAAGCCCTGAGCTACTAGCCAGGCCTTAAGAGTTATTCGCTACCAGTTGCCCCACCCAACCCCTACCCTGCTCTGCTCCTAATTCCGCCCCTAAACACGCCCTCGTAAATTATCTCATGAAATTACACAGTTAAATATTACCCACATTACATCAGGGTCCCCAGAGTCCCCCCACATTACATCAGGGCCTCCAATGTCCCCCTAAACTCTCCATCATATTTGCACCGCATACAACCATTAACTCCCCATAATCTTTCACTCACCAAACCATAACTCTACCAAGCATATCCTACCTTCTATTCAACCCAGCAGTACCTCAAATGCCCCATACTCTACCACCCATAATAACCACATCATGCTGAACCTGACCAAACCACCCATACATGTATGTTTACACACAGACACATGTACACACACAGACACATGTACACGCACACAGACACGTACACACACACAGACACGTGTACACACACAGAAACATGTAAGCATGTACACACATGCACAGAGACACATGTACACAGACACACGTACACATATACACACACAGATACACACACATAAATACACACACAGATACATACACATGTACAAACACACACACACACATACACACAGCCATATAAAAAGTTGCAGTACTTCGTTACCTTCACTCACAGAGCAGGTACTATACTCTAGGGCGGGTGTCGGCAACCCGCGGCTCCAGAGCCGCATGCGGCTCTTTCTCACCTTTGCTGCGGCTCCGGAGCACACTGCCCACCAGGTGACAGGCAATAGGGTTGCCGTAGCTCAGTGGTCGGCAAGCCGCGGCTCTTCTAACCTCCCTGGCGGTTTTCCCGAGTGTAGCTCGTGGTAGAATTTCTATACCACGAGCTACACTCGGGCTTACCATGCGGCACTGATCTGGGGGTCCCTGCAGCACTTACCTTGTCCTTCGTTCCCGCGATGTGTCCCCTGCAGCGTCCCCGGCCATCTCCTCTGGCCGATGCCGGCATCCGGCTTCTGTGTTCCAGTCCCCGTGACGTCGGGACGTACGGGCGCCGCCGGCGGCGGGAAATTTAAAAAATTTAAAAAATGTCTTTTTTGTTTTTTCAATTTTCAATAGTAAAACATTGCTGTTTCATCCCATTTCACATACATTTTGTCCCTAGTGCTTTGTCCTGTGCCCTGCCTGCATTTTGTCTGTTCTTTCTGCCTGGAAACTTAGAAAAGTCCATGGCGTCCAAAAAGCGTCCCTTTAGGTCAAAAGCGGTTTTAGACCGGCTAGAGAACAGCGATAGTAAATCAGAACCACTTGCAGAATTGAGTGATGATTTGTGGGGAAATTTTCCTAAAAATTACAGCCTACAATAAAAAACTATTTCCATGCGAAAAAATGGTACCGCTTTCAGCACAAAAAATCGGAAGGAATCATACCGCCAGGGAGGTTAATGCAGCTCTTCTGTGTGCCGGGCGCCCGCTCCCCTCCCTCCTCTCGGGCGGCCGCCCCAAAAGTCAGGACTCTGCAGCTAGCCTAGCAATGGGCAAACTACGGCCCGGCGGACCTTATAATCCGGCCCGCGGAGCGTGGCAAACATTGGCTGTCAGGATGTAGGCGGGGGGCAGCGTGACGAACTCCTCTCCTCTCACAGTCCGCCCTGAAGACCAGAACTGCGCGGGAACACGGCGAGAGGAACGCGCGGAGTACAGGTAAGTGAATTGACACAATATGGGAATGAATTACTATAGGGGGGATGAATTACTATAGGGGGGATGAATTACTATATGGGGGATGAATTACTATAGGGGGGATGAATTACTATATGGGGGATGTATTTTCAGTTTTAAAAATGTGGCTCTCAAAATAAAATTTAATCGTGGTTTTGGCGAGATTTGGCTCAGTTGAAAAGGTTGCCCACCACTGACCTAAGGCTATGATTGTGATTATGACGATACACTGTGGTCCTGATTAACCCTTTGCTTACTGGGCCCTTAAACCCCCTTCATGACCAGAGCGCTTTTTGCAATATATGCAGTGTCGGATTTGTTTTAAATGTTGCAATGGTTTTGCGGCTCCCAGTCTTTTTTTCCCCTCTCGGAAACGGGTCCAAGTGGCTCTTTATGTCTTAAAGGTTGCAGACCCCTGCTCTAGGGGGAGGGAAAGAGCACAGCACACACTCCCCCTTCCTTTGCTTTCACTTTGCCTAACTTATTGAGCAGTCTGATGGCTCACAGTGCGAGTAACAGAGCCGGCCCTGATTTCCGAGCCTGCACAGCAAGACAACCCTGAGGGACACACTCACCCCCACCTTATTTCCACTCGCCAATGCGAGCAGGCAAGTGAAAATTTAGAGACCTGATGTATGGTACCACCGCCTGAATGTTTACCATTTAAGCACTGTTAGATCTCCTATGATTTAAAGGTCTACCGTTGCAAGAAAACGTATGTGAACCCCTTGGGATTACGTGGAGTTTTGCATGAATTGGGCATAAAATGTGCTCTGAATGTCATCTAAGTCACAACAATAGAAGAACACAGTCTGCAGAACATAATACTACACAAACATTAGATGTTGCCATGGTTTAATTGCACATAACATGTAAACATTCACAGTGCAGGGAGGAAAAAGTATGTGAGGCCCTAGCTTAATGACTTCTCCCAGAGCTAATTGGAGCCAGGAGTGAGCCAACCTTGACTCCAATCAGTCCGGCTTCCGTCCCCTACACTCCACTGAAACTGCCCTCCTCAAAATCACTAACGACCTACTAAACGCCAAAGCCAAGGGCGACTACTCTGTCCTCCTTCTCCTGGACCTCTCTGCGGCCTTCGACACAGTTGACCACCCCCTCCTCCTTAATAAACTACTCCCCTTGGCATCAGAGATACTGCTTTCTCTTGGTTCTCATCCTACCTATCCCGGCGCTCCTTCAGTGTCACCTACAATGGTGCCACCTCCCCCTCCCTCCCCCTCTCTGTTGGGGTCCCCCAAGGCTCTGTCCTTGGATCCCTTCTCTTCTCCATCTACACCTCCTCCCTGGGCAAACTCATACACTCTCACGGCTTCAACTATCACCTCTACGCTGACCACACCCAAATCTACCTCTCCACCCCTCTCCTCACCCCCACTATCTCCGCCCGCATCACTCACCTCCTAAATGACATCTCAGACTGGATGTCGCTACATTTCCTCAAGCTCAACCTCTCCAAAACCGAGCTCCTCGTCTTTCCCCCTGCCAACACCCCCCCCCCCATCCTATCCATCATCACCAACAACTCCACTATCACTCCCGCCCCACAAGCCAAAGTCCTTGGCGTCATTCTTGACTCGAACCTCTCCTTCCAACCGCATGTCAAATCACTCACAAACACATGCAGGCTCCATCTTCGCAACATTGCCAAGATACGTACCTTCCTCACCCTTGACACCACCAAACTTCTAGTACACTCCCTCATCATCTCACGCCTTGACTACTGTAATTCTCTCCTCACCGGCCTACCCAAGTGCAGGCTCTCCCCGCTCCAGACCATCCTGAACTCAGCGGCTAGACTCATCCACCTCACCACCCGCTCCACCTCTGCCACCCCCCTCTGCCTCTCCCTCCACTGGCTCCCGATTGCCCAACGGATCAAATTTAAACTCCTAACCCTGACCTACAAAGCCGTTCACAACACTGCCCCTGACTACCTCACCAACCTGATCCCCAAGTACCGCCCTACCCATACCCTTCGCTCCTCACAGGACCTCCTTCTATCCTGCTCCCTGGTCTCCTCCTCCCATGCACGACTGCAGGACTTCTCCAGGTCCTCCCCCATCCTCTGGAACTCACTGCCCCAATCCATCAGACTGTCGCCTTCCCTCTTCACATTCAGGCGCTCCCTCAAAACCCATCTCTTCAGGGAAGCCTACCCCACCCTCACCTAACGGCCATTCTCCCTCTTTCCTCCCACCCCTCATTCCCCTCAGCCACTTCCTACT